AGGTCCACCCGGAGCTCACTGGTGCCTGTTGGGAGAAGACTCTCAATTCCCAGCCAGAGACCTTCCGCCGGGAGGTGTGGGCTAGGGTCAGTTCTGGGAGTGTACCTGAACGTGAGATCCAGGGAAATTTCCCCTGGGACTTTATACAAATGCCTAAGGGTGTGAAGAGCTCAGAAGTGGTCTGTACTACACCACGCCTTCAGAACCGCCTGGAACTCCCCTACTGCACTCTCCGCAGCGGGTGAGATTCCGCTCTACTTCACGACTGCACGTTGTTTTAGAAAAGGACATGGCATCACTATAGAAGACTGTTTCCATTTCCCCCTTTTCTTGGAAGAACTTCAGGCCAGAAGTAGAAGCCTTTGATATTGTCCAGGGCCACTGAGTGGGAAAAAACAGCCCCAGTATTTAGTGGTTCCAGTCCAAGCTGGAAGCTGATGCTGGAGTGAATCGGGGAGCCCTGTCCTCAGAGTGGGGGTGCCTGGGTGGGGTCTGCTGCACATTCTGAGCCAGGAGGGGTCTGAGGGAGCCCCAGGCATCTAAGATCCAGCTCCAGAGAAAGAGAGCTGGTGAGCCAAGGCGGCAGGGTCACTCTCACACCGAAGCCCTGCTGATAGGAGGAGTGAGAGGTCCCGCCCTGAACATAGGTTCTTGGGGAGTTTAATGTGGGTTTGGGGCTGTGCACACGCCCTGACTGGCCTCAGCGCTTCCCTCCCCTGGCTGCAGTCATTGAGGTGAGCCACGGGGCTGCTTAAAAGCAAGGATTGTGACAGATCATTCCATGCACCTTCGGCATAACATCAAGAGGAGGAAGGCATCATGCTTGGAAGCAGAGGGATGTGGAAAAGGAGAACGACCCTTCATGAGCTGGACTGCTCACATGCCTGCCCTGTGGGGAGTGGGTGGGTGCACCGTCAGGCAGGATCCCGATCTGTGGTCCTCGGGGTCACTACGAGTCAGAGCTGGCTCGATGCCTTCTAACAATGCCTTCTCTTAGGCAGTGAGATGTCACATTCCTAACCTCCTGCTCTGAAAGCCCAAGGCAGAGGCGCAGCCAGCATGTCACAGTGGTGACAGTGACACCTCAGAGCTCCACCTTTTGTGTCCAGGGTCAGTGAGGCTGTGCTGGGAGGGTCTGGGCAGGGTGTGGGCCTCACCCTCAGCAGTCAGGGAGTGGATGTTGTCATTCCCCAGCCAGAACTCTCCCAGCTGACTGCCAAAGCCACGCTTGTACTCGGCCCAGTCCCGGTAGAAGTCCACGGAGCCGTCAATCCGCCGCTGGAAAACCTGAGGGCCAGTGGGGTTTAGGGAGAGGGTACTAGCTCACAGCTGCAGTCCAGGACAGACCTGAGCCCCACACGGGTGCAGCAACTCACAGCTCACAGCAAACAGCCTCCAGCCCACAGCTCACAGCATCACTTTCACAGCCTTCAGCTCGTAACTAATAGCTAAGAGCATGACAGCCCACAGCTCACAACTCAGCCCACAGCTCACAGTCCACAGCCCATAGCTCACAACTCACAAACCACAGCCCACAGTTCACAGCCCACAGCCCACAGCTCACAGTCTACAGCTCACAGCCCACAGTCCACAGCTCACAGTCCACAGCCCACAGCTCATAACTCATAAACCACAGCCCACAGTTCACAGCCCACAGCCCACAGCCCAAATCTCACAGCTCACAGCCCACAGTCCACAGCTCACAGTCCACAGCCCACAACTCATAGCCCACGGCCCACAGTCCATAGCTCATAATTCACAGCTCACAGCCCACAGCCCATAGCCCACAGCCCACAGCCCACAGCCCACAATTCACAGCTCGCAGTCCATAGTCCACAGCCCACTGTCCACGGTTCACAGCCCACACTTCACAGCTGACAGCCCACAGCTCATAAGGTCACAGGCCATGTAAACCAGCACCACATGGGCCTCAGCACCCAGCCACGGTAGAGAGTGGGGGCTCCCATCCACCACCCCGAAGCTGGGGCTCATAGAGTGTCCATCACAGCCTCAGGCCACATAACTGGGAAGGGTGGGCTCCTCAGGGCTGCAATCCCCCCTCCCCAGCACCTCCCTCTCCCCAGGGTGCCCCACCCTCACCGGTTCTGGTTTTCTTATCCTCAGAGAAAGGGGATAGGACAGGGACATTAAAGCCCAGAGGAAGGTCAACAGGACAGCGTGGAGACCTCCTCCCTCAAGCCACATGGCCTCACTGCTCCCCCCAACCCCTTCGCCCCTGCCCTGGGCCCCAGCACTCACGATCCAGCCCCCGCCATCCGTGTGCATGTCACACAGCACTGTCAGTGGCCGGCAGTCAGGGAGGTAGATGGTGTGCCAGCCGCTCAGGGTGTGTCCCCTCGTGCGGAGCTCCATGCAGCTCCGGGGTCCTGGAGCAGACAGGACGTGTGGGTGCCCGACAGGAGTAATGTTGTCAGCCCAGTGAGGGGGCAGTGAGAGGGAGAGGCAGGATGGGGTGCTCGGTGGGTGAGCACGCAGGCAGGTGGAGGGAGAGGCAGGATAGGGCACCGGGAGGGCAGGGCTGAGGACTGGGGCTCAGGACAGAACTGGGACCCACAGGGCGGCAGGTATCGGTCAAGCTCAGGCCCTGGCCTCCCCCATCCCTGAGCCACCGCGCCTCATTCTCCCAGACCCCTGGTCTCTGCTGTGGGACACACTGGCAGGTGGTGCGGCAACAATGACCGTTATTTGGAAGTTGCTGTGTAAAAAGTGATGGGAGCGCCCTGTCCTCCCATCCAGAGCCGGAGTGTGGACAGCAGCTGCCAGTGCGTGCCTGTCGTGGGGGTGCAGGGGGTGCAGGGGGTGAG